TTGAACAAATGCATTCCTCAACCAGAAAATGTTTTATAATACTGATTGCTTTTACTTTCCTCAGCTTCTATTTTTCCATCGATTAAGTTCTTAAGAAACCATGTTATAAGTGTGCTCTGTATTCCTGTCATACCCTGAAAAGAAAATATTTATCATAGGGATTGATCATATTTGATAATAATTCTTCATTGGTATGTCTGTTTAATGAGAGGAGATTTCTTGAGGATAGGCATCATATGACCTTAATAAAATACTTTATCTTACTACAAATAATACTTTAAAAATAAATGAATATAATTGCCTCTTTATAAAAAAGCTTTCACTGGATCCCTATATCAAAAGAGCCCCGCCTTTTGGCTACCGTTTATTGAGCCCATTATGTTATGTGCACATGCATATATGCACACATATGGCCTAATTGTTACAACACATTTGACAGGTGAGAAACTCTTAGGTTTGTATAATTGTGCAAGGTTACAGGCATACAAAGTACTCAAGTCTTTGAGACCCTATCTGGGTTAAATCCATGACCTTTCCACCATTAAACCACCTTAGACTCACTTTCCACACGTGTGGGCCTAGCAGTGTTAGCTCATTACAATTCTTGGTCCTCCTTACCTGCCTAATTTTGCCCAAATCTCCATTATAAACAATTTTCCCTCCATAACAAAAATCTATTTAGTACTACTCCTCCACATGTACTTTACATGCAAAGACACCACCAGGGAATCTTCTTAAAAATGCAGATTCTGATTCAGTATGTTTGCAATATTGCCTAAAATCCTGCATTTCTAACAAGTTCCCAGATGATTCCAATGCAGATGGTCTGGAGTCCACACCTTGAGTGTGACAGTACCAAGCATCCTTCTCCTGTATGCCTTTGAACCTTGCCTTGACAACATTCTTTCCACTCCTCTTCCTAGATGCTTAAGGGTACCACCTTCTCTTTAACACCTTTCCCAGTTCTTTAGTTCACTCTGGTGTTCTCTGAATCCCAGTAACATTCTGTTAGCTCTTGGGATTATTTCCTTGGGGTGCTCATTGTTTTTGTATGGGTACATTTATCTCAAACTAAATGTTCTAGAAGTATAGTTTATCATATCGTCTCTATTCCTCTCAGCACTTAGCAAAATATTGTTCTGTAGTCATGTAGTGGATAATTTCATTTTCTTAGCATAGAAGTCCTTCTATAGAAACTTCCCTCTCTCCAATCCAAGGAAGATCCAGATCTGTATATGTAGACTATTAGCAGCTATGGCTTGTTCTCATGTCTCCACAAGGAATGGAAATCAAATAGAGATTAGAGTCTGTTCTCTGGCATTTGTAATTTAACTGGCAAAAATTTAGTCTCCTTCTTTACGGGAAGTATATGTAAATGAAAATATGACAAAGACCATGTTTTCTGCATGTGTCTGGAAGGAGCAGAAGTTAGCTTTCAAATTGGGATGAATGAAGCAAATCCAGAGAAGCACAAAGGTCTTCCAGGATCACAGTCAGGAAAATGCCAGTCTTTCTGTTTCAAATGATGATCTTTAAAGCATCCCTGTGCTGTTAGCCTTTGGCTCTCTGATAAATCAACTGCTCTTCTGTTTTCTCTTAAGCAAGTTCTATGGCTACAGTTACTTACAATCAATCCAATCTCTATATATATTGTGTGTGAGCAATTATGACTGGTGTGATGCTTATCAATTGAAGCTCAAATATGGTAGCATATTTGCCATCACAGTACATAATGAAATGAGGGATGCGGGAACAAGTTCTATAATACATTATCCTAAAGCAATGACATTTCTCAGTTGAAGTCTTCAGAGCACCTGTATCAAAGTTAGTCAAAGTGCTCTTTTAAAAAGATCTCTGGTTAACATGGTTGACCTACTGAACTGTCATTTCTGGGGTAGAGACCAGGAATCTATTTTTTTTGGGGGGGTCACTTATCAGGGATTGAACTCAGGGCACTCAACCACTGAGCCACATCCCCAGCCCTATTTTGTATTTATTTGGAGACAGGTTCTTACTGAGTTGCTTAGCACCTTGCTTTTGCTGAGGCTGGTCTTGAACTCATGATCCTCCTGTGCCCCTGGGATTTCAGGTGTGCACCACAGTGTCCAGAGAATCTACTTTTAAGTAGGACTTTCAAATGGTGCTGAAGGTCTAGATTAAGGTTTTGTTTACCAAGAAGTGCACATATTATTCTGCTTTAGCCTGAAGATTCACCAACCTAATGCTTTGACTTGACAACCACACCAATATTTGTGGGAGCTAAGGGAAGGATGCTTTGTTCTCTGAATTCTAGATGTCTTCCTCAAATTATCACTACTTAAATCCTAGTAGCCTAAAATGTTTATAAAGACCTTCAGAGGGCTGGGGTTGCGGCTCAGCGGTAGAGTGCTTGCCTAGCACGTGCATAGTCCTGGGTTCGATCCTTAGCATCACATAAAAATAAATAAGTAAAATAAAGATATTGTGTCCAACTACAATTTAAAAATAAGTTATTAAAAAAAAAAACCTTCAGAGATGGGATCATACTAATTCTCACGTTCCTTCTTGTGGCTGTCACTAAAGCCAATGGTGGGGGTCTAACTGCCTTTGCAGTAAATTAGGTCTCTCCCATGATCCAATGACACTATGCTACAACTTAACCTGCTTTTTCCTATTCTGACCTCAGGATCAATGCAAAGAGCTTTCGTGCCTTAACCTCTGCTTTAGTCTTAGAATCAGAGTGAGAAATCTAGCTTTCTGCATCTTCAGAGGTCTCTGTAAACATTAATTCATAGTGATTATGCCAAAATAATAAGGTGTTTGAAAGTAATGAGTTTTCTTTCTTCCATTTTCTTTGCTGAAAGCCAATGAAAATGTATTCAAATGTACATGGAAGTTAATAAGAAAAAGTTCCCTTAAGTGTTGCTCTGAAATATTATGTAGAGGTCTTAATCCTATTATCACAGATGAGTACAGCACTTAAATATCTCCTTCATGGCTGTTAAAGCACAGTAGAGTCAATTCATGCCCAGGGAGCTTTAATCACACATCTTGGTCATGATGAACGTAAAGACTCAGTGCAGGCTATCATGGCAGTGGCCTGGGTACTGGGGGAGTTGCTAATGGGAGCACCGCCAGCATGCACTTCAATTACTTTCAAGGAGCACTTCCAATCTAACAGCTAAATGAGGATCATTAGAGTGGCTTTACATGCAGCATTTCTTAGGAAATTCCACATTTAAAAGAGGCCAGTTATTGCTTTCAATGGATACAACTGAGATTGCTTAAGGGATGCAGATATTATTGTCAATGGTTTAAAGTTTTACTGGTGAGAGTGAATTAATGGTTTCTTAACTGGTTGAACTATCATGGTTTTACATTTTTCTGATTCCTTATATTACTCAATCACAAACAAGATGAAAGCAGGGCCATGAAGAAATACGTCACGTGGCAAAATATTCATCATTATAAGAAAGAGCTGGTTGGAACGGTGAAAGACTTCTGGTTATTGAACACTGACACTAACTGAGTTTTTTAGGGTGTCCCAGGTGGCATTCATTATTAACCTTGTTTTCTCTGCTAAAACTCAATTTGTATCCTCACACCCCAAACTAGAAACCACACAAACGGTTTTAAAGGCTACTGCATAATTTAAAAAGACTCATCATAATGTAGAGGAAGGGCAGTGAAGAAATTAAAGCCTGAACATGTAAGAAAATAAGACAACCTACAATCCAATGTGAATTTCCCTAAATTGAAAATGGTCTTCTGAATGGCTGAAGTAGAATAAAGGAAAAGATGAACAAGAAGGAAGAGAAGGGGGAAGAGAATAAGAAATTTCTTTTATGTCCCATCAAATAGTTGACAAACATTAAAAAAGGCCTAGGGATGGAGGTGGATGCTAGTATACCTGGACAGTGCTTACCCTGCACAGTAATTCAAAATAAAATCAGAAAATCTAAAGATTTTGGGAAGGCCATGCAGATAACTCAGATTGCCACAGGACCCGCTATTCCATATTCACATGGCACTTCATATACTTGGTGCCTCTCTATCTACTTGAGGTTGGACCCCTCGAAAGGCCTGTGACAGGGTGGAATATTATAGCTTGTAGAGATTGAGGGATCATGTAGTCCAAATGCCCAGTTTAAGGTGGATCTGAGAGAGAACACGGGAAGTAAGTGGGAGGGTAGTATTTTAAGATTCTTAGCAAGTAAGTCAGTAAAAACTATTAGGAATCTGAGCAGCTCAGGGACCAAACAGCTATTTGTTGTATGTCACAACCATAAGATTCAGATAAATATTTTAATCCTTCATGAAGTTAAACTTGAGCTACCAGAATAAGGACAGTCCAGTTATCAATAATTCATCGATTGTTTTCACTATAGATCCCTGTTGCTGTGGAAAAACAGAAATGCCCAGTTTCATAAGACTTAAGATATGCCACGATATCCAAATACACATGCACACAAAGGCTTTTCATTTATCATCATCAAAACTTCACAGTTTTTAAAGACAGTAGTATTTTAAGACCATATTCAGTTCACCGTTCCTTCATAAATAGGCAACTTTCTGGGAATGCATCAATATACTGATATTAGTGCTCGTATTATTTTAGACAGAAGAATAAATTCACAAACAACACTGAAAAATCTACTTATTCCTTGTAACCTCTTTTTTAGTGAAGACTCTCAGCATACATCAATGTACTTGGCATCCATTTGTATACTGGGAAGCTAATCAATTCAGAATATTTTATGAACTTAACAACCCAAAATGGTAAATCAATATCACTAAGTATTAATATCACTGAACAAACATAAAATAACATCTTGAAAAGGTACAACTACTACATTGTTAGTGTGAATATTTTTAAGTTGGCTATTCATTCAACATTTTTATATTAGATTGTGAGTCATATTTAATGAAAAAAGACCTGATATTCATTTTCAAGAATATGGACAAAAAGAAGAGAAAGGCAACTCTTGGATGTGCTACAAAGTAAATACAGAGTGATTTACCTCATATTCCTGGGAAAACTTCAAGTTGTCATTTGCTTTCAACCTTTCAATGTGATCTGCAAGTTCCAAGATAGGTATTGGAGGATGGCTAGCCATACCTATTAAAAAAGGAAAGAAAAAATGCCTTTGAAAACAGATGAAAATTATGTCAACTCTTCCAAAATATAGAGAACACTGTAGTTAGAAATGGCCTGAAAATATGTGAGTAGTAAAGATGTTTTAGGTGAGGAAGCAGGCAGATAGTTTGGTTACTCAAAGCAGGACATGCTCTTGAAGGATGGATTTTGTAGCCAAATAGAAAAGTCACCAAGCATAATCCCCAAACTAGCACTCCTAGTGTGAAAGAAAGCGTTATTGTGCTATGAGTCAATGAGGTTAGCTAGCGGAGAAAAACCGAGTCAGGCTTGATGTCAGCTTCTGCTTTGAGTAATGACTGTTATGTCATTTCAAACTCCTTCTCCTGCACTGTGTGAAATGGAAATTGGGTGGAATTAAATGGTGTAAAGTGAGCTAAGAAAACAGACACTGAGAAAGGCCTAAAAGGGAAAGAGTAGTAGCTTGATAGGAAACAAAAAGTGACTTATGCATAATCAAGGAAAACTAACTTGAAGAATGAAGGTTACCAGGGTAACCGGAATCATCTGAACCTGCAAAGGAAATGATGGTATAAATAAAAGAACGGATTTGTTGGAAAAAAAAATAATGAAATGGATAGCCTGATATGCTTTTAAAAAGGACTAATAAAAATGCTGCAAGTTTTGGCAGGATTCACCGTACATTGTGACTAGATTAGGATCACTTTAGTATTGTACAAATCTGTAGGTGACTGACATTCACATGCAAACATGGACACAAAAAATGACATGCACCACAGCTCATTGACAATAATCACTGTCGACACAGCAGACACCAAACTGAACTTCAAAAATGTTTCCACTAGTAGCAGATTGTAGTGACTGGGGTTGCAGCCTTCTCCTAAATGTTTATAAATGGCCACACTAACAACTTCATGGTATTTTACCCAGGTCCCAGTATTCAACCCCCAGAAAACCTACAATCTACTTCAGGTGTAAACATCTTTGTCCACTAATGGCAAATGAATTCAGGAAAGTGAGCACATGGTGAAAGGACTAGGATCGAAAGAGGGTGGGAAAGGAAAGAAAGCAGGGGGTGGGGTGGAGGCTCACACATCTTAGTTCAGTCTGCCAGCTGAAGATATATTAATTCCACAGATCTTTTTAAAAATAATCCACTGTTAATTATGGTGATTCCTGTGTTTTTATGATGTCTTTTAACTTTTCATAGGATTTGCATTTTGTTTCATTCTGATTAATTTTGCAAGAATATCCTGAGAGAGCTTGGCTGACTCATTGCTTAGAGTCACAATGGCAGCTGGCTAGAGAAACCTGAACTAGCATGTCCCCAGGGAAGCCTCAGAAGGAGAAAAGTCCTGAGGGAGAAGCTCAAACTGGAAGCTGTCCAAATTCTGCTGTCACTGGGACCCTCTGGAGGGTGTTGGGCTGTGGAAAGATGACCTTTAAGTCCACATGACAGAGGACTGGTTTATGGGCACTTTAGAAATTATGCCTTATTGAAAGTCACCCAGTAAGTTCCTCACCTCCAATGCTGAATTATCAATGGTTCTGGTTAATTAAGTAAAAAGCTACTTTGCTTCTTCAAGACTACCATTTAGCACAGTGCTGTGAGTTGAGGTGGTTAAGAGTTCACGGCTGTGAAAGTCTGTTGCCAGTCAGCCAAAATCTTGAGTGGAGATCCAATAAAAACGAATTGGTTAGAAATAGAAACTCTTTGTTGGTGATATAATTATGCATTTGGACCAACATTTTGGAGCCCTTTCTGAAACTTTTCTGTAGAGAGGGTAGAATTGAACTAATTTGCATTCTAGGGAGGGAGTGGGTGGGTGACAGTGATCTGATAATTAAAGTGATCTTATCCAGATGAGGCACTCCCCAGTGAAAAGAATGGAAATGCAAAGACACAAGAGACTTTAGGCTTATCTGGAAATGAAAATGGACTGATGTGGACATCATTACAGTGCTTTAACAGAGAAAATAATAGAGACAAAGATGTTTAGACCTTTTCGAGCGAATCGTGGGAGAGAGTTATTATCATATATGGACTGAGTGGTGGTTTGGCTAGAGAGGGAGGACACAGAGCCAATCAGGGAGGCGTAGGGGACTGAATTACTGCTCAAAGCTGCAAAAAGTAAAGCCAGTTGGAGATGGGAAAAGTATTAGTATAACAGCAGTAGAAGACCATAATAAACAACCAAAGATGCGATCAACACATTTACTTTGGGCATGCACTGGCACATGGTCTGGGAGTATTACTTTGGAAACTAATTTCAGAGAAATCCAAGCAAATCTGTGCTTGCTCTCAATCAAAATATACATTGCATGCAAAGATACCATAGCATTAAAAAAATCATTCTCTGAGACTTGTGAGTAGTACCATTTTGCACCAAATTTCTAGGGCAAATAAAAATGGCGGAATGGATGCTTCACAGAAAAGGGGCAAATTTGTGGAAATCCAATGGCACAAAAGAAATCCTAGCCCAGAGTACTGGACATGAGTTTTACTTCTGGTTTGGCCATGTACTAACAGAGACAAATTACTTATTTTCAAGCAGGTCAATTTCTTTATCTGTAAAATCAAAGTGTAGAACTAGATAAATTCTGGGGTAACTCTGTATTTCACAGTTCTCATTTCTGCCACATATAGATAGGATTGCTGAACACAGCAGAGACCAGTCTGTTTGACTTTGTTCATATACAAGGGTCCTAAAAGTTATTGCAGCTTTTCTTTAAGGGGTGGGAGCACTGATTTTTATAAAACAGGAAACTAGTACTCAGTTGAACTGTCTATGTTCTAAATTATATAAACTTAATGACATTTTCTTTAGCTAGCCAAGGATAATTTCGATGATATATTAAGTATCTAAAAGACTGAATGTCAAAAAATTACACCAAATAATAAACCTGACATAAAACAACTCTAACCTGAAACCCTTTAGTTTATATCAGAAAATAATCACCAAGGATTTACTTCTAAATAAAGATATATCTCTTCCCAGAAATTTCTTCATTGCCTTATGTTGAATACAATTTGTGATATAATGAAGCACATTATATTCTGAATGAAAAAAATAGATGCTAACAAATTAAGAATACCAAGTTGATCCCACTGTAGTACATTTTCAGTCTTTTGTCTGGCCACCTGGCCATTGCTCAGTTTAGAAACCAAAGGTTTTTATTAGAATAGTATTTTCGTATTTGATTCTGAAGTGCCTTAAAATTTCTTCTTGCAGGCTGCACAACAGACCAATTAATTCACAATCTCTAGGTGTGGATGCCAGACAGTGATATATTTTTAAAGTTTACCAGCCTTGGCTCTCTGTTCTGTGGGAACCCATGATGGGGGGCAGGGGAAGGCCTATAACTCCATTTATTACTGTTTTTTCCTAACCCAACAGCCTGTCAGGATTTATGAGAATGAGATGAGCTTTCTCCTGGTGCTATCTTTGAATCTCCTCTGACTCCCCATTAGCAAGCATTAGTCCTTTAGCTATAATTAGCAGCAAAGAACATGAAGCACTGCTAAGGACTGATGGGGACTTGCTAGTGTCATAGCCTCATCAATTCAAAGCTACAAACGTGCGACACAAATGCATTTTAAAGGCACACATTGAATCTGAGCAGTTTTCATACTGAATCTATGATACCTAAAACATAGAGTGTCATCATGAAAAATGACAGATGCAGTCGCTAAAATCTGCCTTAGGTTGGAGGAAAAAACATGATGCCCACTTTTAATGGGTATGTGTTTGTGCTAATAATGTCATGGTGACTTCCTTCTAAGAAGTACAACTTGGAAATCATGGCCTTTTAAGCTGAGAGGTATCTTAGAGATTACTTAGCCCAGGGTTTTCATTTCATACAAGAGAATTCTGAAGTCCACAAAAGTTAAATGACCAGTATGTATCCCAGATAATAAACAAGAATGTTCAAATGCTGTTTGGATATCTTTCTATTGTGCTATTTGAATGGTAATTAGAATCATCTAATTCAGTGGCTGTCTCCCATGACTGAGGGGGCCAAGGCTGGCAAGGTAAATAATCAAAGATGATTAGGTACTATGCAGTAAATATTTTCATAAAGAAAAGCACTCAAAGGCTTGGCTGTGGCTCAGTGGTAGAGTGCTAGCCTAGCACATGTGAGGCACTGGGTTTGATCCTCAGCACCACATAAACATAAATGAATAAAGTCATTGTGTCCATCTACAACTAAAGAAAAATATTTTAAAAAGAAAAAAAAAAAGCATGCATTCCCATTTCCACATAATAAGCAGATTTTGGAGGCTTTCTTTAGTTCCCATACTTTCGGAACTAAAGAAAGAAGAAATGAAAAATAACAACACAGATGAGATAAAATGGTGACTAATGCTCAATCTCAATTTCAGAACCATCTTAGGGCTGGTGGAAATGCAGGAATTTCTGAGAAGGGGAGCTATCCAGCCTTAGCACTTGCTCTGCCAAGTGGAAATGCAGTCTTACAAGGTCAGCCTTCTCAGGTTTCAATGATAACGTAAAATCCAGATTATTTTATAACATCTCCTCAGTTTTCAACATTGACTCAAAATTTTCTTGAAATCTAGTGCACATCAAAGATAGGACCTTCTCAGGCTATATTCTGCCAACCAGATTGTGACCTCTGTTTAAAATAACAGAATCTTCCTTTTTGTAAGTGTAAAAATTAAAATCAAAGACTGCTAGTAGGGACAGACTGCATGCTAGTATCCACAAGGCAATGGGTGTGGTACCGAGATTTATGTTGGAGATATAATATGGGTACTTTTTTGATGGTTCATTCTCTGTGGGTTCATCTATCCTCCTCTCCCCCAACTCAAACCACTATTAATTTTACCAGTTAAAATGAAGATGAAAGGAGTTAAAGGACTTGATCAAGGTCATCATTATCAACAAAGTATGGCAACAGAGAGGCTCTGACCCTAGACCATGTCATTCTCACTTAGGGCACCTCTCCTCATGCCATGCTATCTCCCATCATTTAACACTCCT